AGCACTGAGTGGCTGGCATTGGGGCTGAGTGTCAATGGCGGTAATAAAAAAGCATATGATGCTTCCTGCCTTTAAGAGGCTTACAATATAGATGAGAAGGCAAGCTTTTTAGATCAAACAATTAGGGACCAATAAAGGAGAGGATTTAAAACAAACAAACCAGGTTGTATAGTACAATAAACAGTTTATTACGCTCTAAGGTCCTACCACAATCATTTTCTAAGAAGAATGGACCTAGGTTGTTCTTTCTGCATAAAGTTGCTCGCTTACAAAGCCAGAGAAGGTATTGCACAAAACCAACCGTATTTCTCTGATCACAAATAAACAGACCATGGATCATAAGCCAAGGCTGCCTAGCAATACTACATAAGGGGAATTTAAATGAGCAACGTGTAAAAAGGACTAAAGTAGAACCACTGAAACTGCTGCTGAGTCAGGAATGACGAGCCACTATTCCAGTTCGCCAGGAGGACTACTGTACATTCCCGTCTATGAAGCACACGCACAGGAGGACGACTTGGCCACTGAGCCAGCTTCCTGTGCTGCCTCAATTCCCCATGTATCTTACAGTAAGTCCCTATTATTTAAACTTATTGGGTATGTCTCTTTCTCAGAATCCGTACTATGTACGTGATACTGCTAATAAATTTTTTACAAGAGACCAAGAAGAGGTGACATACTCAAATATGGCACGGTATCTAGAATACATAAGGTAGTCAGAGAGACAGCAACATCTCTGAGACAATCATATAGCCATAGCTCAGGTTCTTCTGTTACACTGTGTATGTATTTGAAACAAATCAAAAGACACTCTTTAAGTGTCTACTGTTGATTTGAGGGACAGGTACTGTCCTATAAAAGAAACAAAAAGTGTTTCACAAGAAGGCATTCATCTTATTTGAAAAAGAAATATCAAACAAGAGTAGAGATAGTGGGGAGAGTGCTATCATATTGCGAGGATTGCAACCAATGTCACAAACCAATATGAGCATAAATTTTTGAATGAGAAAGTAACTTGAGCTGTCAACTTTCACCTAAAGCACAATAAAATTAAATAAACATATACATATAAAAGCAGTGTTGTAAAGGGGTTTTAAAGTCCCAAGTCAGTTGACTGTAAGATACAGAGATCAACCTGGTGAGTCAGGTGAGTCCTTTAAAAACAGAAAGCTTATCCAGGTGGTAACAAAAGTGGAAGTAAGAGAGATTGAAGATGCTGTTGCTGGCTTTGAAGATGCAGAGGGGCACATGAGAAGGAAGCGGTGGCCTCTAAGAAAAGACAGCGGCCCGTGGCTGACAGCAATGAAATGGGGACCTCAGATCTACAGTTGCAAGAAACAAGAGTCTGCCAACAGTATGAGTGAACTTGAAGCAGATTCTTCTCCAGGGCCTCCAGATAAGGGCCCAGTCCAACCCTGACTTTGGCCTTGTGAGATCCTGCGCAGAGAACTGGACTTCTGACCTACAGAACTGTGAGCTAATAATAGTTAAGCTAATAATAATATTATGTTACACTAAAAAAAAAAAGTAGACATAGTATGGCAAACTAACAGTCATAATCATTTAAATCAAAGAGAACCTGTTCCTAACGGGAAACTTCCTTAGGAAGATAAAAAATTCCTCTCTCTAGATACTAGCGGACAAGAGAGCCATATCTAAGGATGGTATTTCAATGCGTACTGGAGTTATAGATAAAGTATCATTTTCCCCCTTTTCTTCTCAATGTTATCTTTATACCCCCTTGGAATAACTTTCTTATCTAACTTTACTTGAGCTTTCCTGAGTATGTTCCTGTCCCATGATATTTAATTCATTTTATTATAGTCTTTATCCACTCCTTCTCTCCCTCCCTAAATAGACTATCAGAGAAAGCATAAAGAAAAAATATAAATATTAAGCTTAATCAAATTTTTTTATTAATGTGTCAGATATATAACACTCAAAATGACTTGGAAATTTGAGAAAAAGTTATTCTCCACCTCCAATCCTCCAAATCATACCAAAACAAGTGAAGGAGAGGAGAAAAAGGAAAAATCCTTACAGGAAAACAAGTTATGAATGCATGGAACGAAACAAATAGACCAGAGTAGGAAATTGTGCTGGAGGTAAAAGCTCTTAAAAGAAAGTCAAAATAACAAAGTTTGAACCTTTGTCAGGACTGCCAGGTTCATAGGCATTCTTTCTTGCTGACCTACAAGTCAATTATTATTCAAGAGTGAGTTTGTTTTGGAGGAAATCACTTCAGCAGCTCAACTTTAATGAGATTGATGGGTGCAGGAGTGTGGGATATGAAGCGGTGTAAATTTGGGAGAGGTGGTATACTAAATAGTGGCATAACTACACAATCAATGGCTACTGCTACTTTTTTAGATATTAAAATATTCTGTTAAATATATATCCAATTATAAGAAAAAACTATATAGTTTGCTTATTGGCTCTGTTATAAATGTCTGGTTTATGCTAAACAGAATCTGAGACTTCAGAATCTCTATATTTCTAATGCAATTACACAGTATCAATTACAATGATTTCTTTCTAGCAATGAAATTTAGTATCTAAGTTGGAGAAAAGGTCTATACTCTTCCGCACAAGAAATGATACCACTCACATTTTTGAGGAAACTGTCAGAAGAGTATTTTATATTGAAAGATGGAAGAGAAGACCAAGTGTGAGGTAATTCCTTGCCTCTCTCATTTTCATTTTTAGCAAGAGCAAAAAGAATGAAAGAACAGTCCAGGTATTTAAGAATTCACTTCCTGTCCCATGACATAATTTACAATCATCATGATAAAATTAACTTCTTTTCTCCTACTGTAAAAACAAAACAAAAAAGAAAAAGGATGTGGTCTCTCTAACTACTGTCACCTAATTAAGTTCAGGTTTATCCTTACTTTTTCTTGATAAGGTTTATCCTTACTTTTTCTTGCTATAAAACACCAAGATGGGATAAATCAGTAATTATGAAATGAAAAATCAGAACAGAAAGTGAAAGACAGTTCTAACAAGTTCTCCTGAACATAAGAAAGATTGGATTTTCTAGAGTATCACAAGGTCAGGAGGGAGGAAGAAATCAATAATTTTCCAACAGCACTTTTCACAGCAAACTAGTGAGAAATAGCTTTTACAAATGCAAGAAATGTAATACATAATGTTTGTAAAAATACAGTCTCTTTAAAGCTAGGATTATTTTCTCTGTAGCAAATATTTGCTCTCTTACCTAGAAAAACATTACTAACGATAACTTCAATCCATGGCTTGACAACTGCTATTTCTGATATATACTATACTGTTTTGATCAAATAATAAAGTATCCCGAATCTACGACAACTATTCCACTATTTGAGTGTTAAAAACATCCTTCTTTGGTAATTTCCATAATATATACTTTAACACATTCATTTTAATACCCATCAAGTCTCTGCTTCATAGTGCTGGATTCCATTTTTAAAAGTTTACTTTTTTTCCAGTTTAAGCATAACTGTGCAAACACTTAGTTCTCATCAGCCAATGCAGTTGGAGTCTGGCTGAAATTCTGTTCTCAGCTGCCCTCTTGCTGCTACAAATGAAGCTGTGAGGCTGGTGCAGTGTAGAAAGAGACAACTTATGTCTGAGAGAAGAAGGTGAGCACAGGGGATTTTGTGAAATGGCAGAGACCTGAGATACCATCATTAACTTGTTCCAAATATCCAAGCATATTTGATTAATAACTGAAAATATATGAAACTTCCAATCTCCCTAGTTTTCAGGTACCAAAGCTCTCTCGTCCTAAGATCCTGAGCTGACAGATATTTATACCTTAGGAAAAGAATTAACAAGTTAACTGAGAATTTCATTGATAGTGCGTGGTGACAACAAAATCAGAGAATGAATTTGTTTACCCCATTTTAGTGTATGCTTATTTCTAAGCATCCCCTCTTAAAAAAATAATGAAAAAACTCAGGATACAAACCACTGAGGAATTCTAACTCATTCATCTGTTCCTGTATAGCACTCAGCACTCTAACAGAGATATTCACATGGCAACTCTATGAAGAATATATCTTCATTTTATAGGAAAAGTAGATAGAATGTAAATAGCTATGTTTCTTTTCCAGTTAGTCGAAGCAACCCTAACATTAAAAAGTGCTGGTGGAAACATTTACTTTTGCATAAGCTGATCGATTATCTAAAATACTCTGCAGCAACAAGAGTAAATGTTTGATGAAGGACAGACAAAAGAGGTATACAGTCTCAGGAACATAGATCCAAACTTTCCACAATTAATATACTAATCAGCCCATGATTCATATTGAACCTACACTTCAGAAGTCCATTTCCCAATAACCAATAAGAACACCACTACAAAGCCTAAATAGAAAATTTGTAATTTTTTACATCTCCTTTGGTTATAAACAAACATTATGGCTGTAGAAATGATAAAGAATAAAAATCAATAAGCAGTTTATCTTTTCTAAATATAAGATAGTAGACTGATATCAATTCTATGTTCATCTTCATAAAGCTGAACAGCTAGCTCAGTGTCAAGCATGCATTACAGAACTTAGAAGGTTCCATTCCTATACAGGCAGCCCCCGGGTTACGAATGAGATCCATTCCTAAGTCTGTCTTTAAGCTGAATTTGTAGGTAAGTCGGAACACGTACATACTGTTCTTATTTAGTGTCAATCAAATGTTTGTCTTAGTATATAGTTTACATTTTACCTTTCTATGCATACGAAACACTTAAGAAACACTTCCAAACTATGCAACGTTTTCATGAGCGTCACAAAGTAGTGCATGCGAACCACTGTATTTAACTTAAATTTTTAACATAATAGGCTTTATGGTTGTCCACTCTTAAGTACAAGTCGCCCATAAGTTGGACGTTCTCAACCCAGGGACTTATTTTAACTTATTTTATATTGCCTCCTATCATCTCACATCCACAGTATTCAACCCAATGTCTTGTATATAGCAGGTACTCAAAAATACTTGCTCTATTCTTTCAAAAATGAACTTACCCTTCGAAACGACACAACATAAAATGTGTCTCCCCTTCTGCGGATGGCTTCAAAGAAATCCTGATAACTTCTGGGTGAAGCATAATATACTTGTAGCTCACTTCCTGAGTTCCTGCTGAAGTAAAAAACAGGAAAAGTGTTCTTAAACTAAAGAAAACTGTTCTCTCAAAATACTTCCCATTCCAAAACTATGAATGTCTGAATTATAAGAATCTCTCTCAACCAAATATCAGTAGTACTTTGGCAATAATTTTTATAATAACATTCTGAAAAGCCCCAAGACCAGGATATTTATAAGATCTAATTTACTAAGGCTAAAATTCTCATTTCTGAATTAAAGCTCTAAAATGTACTAGTCAAGTTGCATTGCAAAGCATGGAAAAATAATAAAAGTATCAGAAAACAGAGAGATTGCCACATGGGTTTGCATGATTCTAAATTTTTTGGTAGTAAAAGTTAAGAATGAGGAAAAGTTATTTTTCACCACTCTGTCAAATCTGTGAAGGCACACTTGCCTACAAGGCTATATGAAAGATGGAAAGGGCTTTGAATTCCTGTTCTACCCCTCAAGTGGGTACCAGTGAAAAAAATCAACCTCTAGAGAAATCTCAGTTTCCTCATCTAAAAAATGAGGACAATCATATAAACCTACAGGACTGATACTGGGATCAGAGACATTATATATATAAAGTGCCAAGCACAGGTCCTGTTATATATGAGTCACTCAACAATTGCTAACCATTGATATTAAAAGTACTATATCAGTGTCTTGATAAAATTACAACACCTCACACCACATCCTACCCCAAAAGATACACTCAAATGGTATTAATGTAGTTCTTAATATGATATTTCCAAGATCTTTTACTGCTTAGCACAATAAGCCAACATCTAGAATAGTTAAAGAGATCCTATACTGTTTCATTTTTCTCCAAAGAGAAAACCTATGTTTCAGTCAAACTTGGGATTTACTTATTTTAACTTAAAAGCAGAAAAAACTGACCTAAAGGGAAATTATAAATGAGTCGTATGTACTTCCATTTGCTCACTAGGCTATTTCTGCTTATATGTTGAATATAATTCACTAAAAACATTAATTGGTTAAGAAATAATATGTCATCATAGTCATGCATCAAAAATATGGATTTTTTAAAAAATGTAGTAATTGAATAAAATATTCTGGTTAATAGAGAATTATTAGTTACTATATATACTTGAAGTATCTATTTCTATAGGATAATAAAATATCTTAGCATTTTAAGCATTCATGATCTCTGATGTGCTGTTCACTGCTATTTAATAGGAATTTTTGGTTGATAGATAAATGAATAGAACAGCTTTAGCTTTACATATTTATATACATAATTTACATAACACATATAATTTACACATTGTATCTATCTTTATATATATCCTCCAAAGCGCCAAGAATACTATCTAGCACAAGGTAGGTTCTCAGTAAATATTTGTTAAATTAATATATTATCTAATTTAATCATTATATCAACTATGCAGACAGAATTTTATAGATGAGGAAACTTCAACTAAGTTAAACTGCTCAAATTTACAAAGTAAGTAAATGGCAGAGTTATTATTTGAACTCTGCCCAACTCTAAAGTCAGCATCTGACCACAACACTATATTGCCTCCCACATTATCTTTCCTTTTAGTTAGATATGTCTGGTCAACACATTTAAACCTCTCTAACTACAGCACTCTCTTGGGACTCTTTCAAAATCTTTAGTATTAAATAGTAAACAATGCATTTTAAGTCAAACAGCTAAGATCTGAATTCTGATTCTGCCACTTACTGGTTCTATGATTCTGAAATTGACAAAAAACAAATGACTTGCCCAGTTTCTCCATATATAAAATAGAGGCCACAGTATCTACACTTCAAATTATTATATGGATTTAAAGATAAAATGCATGCAAAGTGCCCAGCAGGACACCTGGCATACAGCAGACATGCATGCAAAAAATAATATTCCCTTCCCCTGGGCTCATGAAATAGATGCAAATCAAGGACAGGAGAGCTACGTGTATTTAAGACTTTCAGAGGAATTATGACTGACCAGTGTTTTCACTAAATCTGTATTTAAGAGATTTTGTAGAGTTAACCTTTTGAAATTATCTGATTTACTCCTACTGTTCAGAAATGGTATATGTTATGTGGACTAACCTAAAGTCACAGATGATAATAAACTTAAGATGGAAGGGAAGCATGAATTTCAACTTTAGTAAAATACTAGCTATTTTAAATTCCCTGGCCAAGAGCTTCCACACTTTCTTACCTGATACTAGTAGTTTCAGTGTATTGGACAGCCATCAGCTGAGAATTTGAGCCCTGTTCCAAAGTACCCTGGAAGGAAAAAAAAGGAAAAAGGTTTTATGGCATATACTGATATTATATGAAGATATTCCTATATTGACTAGCTCTATAGCCTATTAATAAACTCTTGCTAAAATATTCATAGTCTTATCATGAATATTCTGTATATTAAGTTCACGTATCTAAACACCAACACAGAATTAGAACCTTTTTGGTCACATTCTAGGCTGAGAGATGTGTCTTATGGAGATTAAGATATTTAAGGCACGTCCCATAAAGTTTAAAGTACAGGCATACCTTTGAGATAATGCAGGTTAGGTTTCAGACCACCACAATAAAGCGAACATTGCAATAAAGTGAGTCACACAAATTTTTTGGTTTTCCAGTGCATATAAATGTTATGTTTACACTATACTGTAGTCTATTAAGTGTGCAATAGCATTATGTCTAAAAAAAACAATGTACATACCTTAATTAAAAAATATTTTATTGTTAAAAAATGCTAACTATCATCTGAGCCTTCAGTGAGTTGTAATCCTTTTGCTGGTGGAGGGTCTTGCCTCCGTGTTTTGATAGCTGCTGATTGATCAGGGTGGCGGTTGCTGAAGGCTGGAGTGGCTGTGGAAATTTCTTAAGATAAGACAATCATGAAGTTTGATGCATCGACTGACTCTTCCTTTCATGAAAGATTTCTCTGTAGCATGCGATGCTGTTTGATAGCATCTTACCCAGAGTAGAACTTCCTTCAAAATTGGAGTCAACCCTCTCAAAACCTGCCACTGCTTTATCAACTAAGTTTATGTAATACTCTAAATCCTTTGTTATCATTTCAACAATGTTCACAGCATCTTTACCAGGAATAGGCTCCATCTCAAGAAGCCACTTTCTTTGCTCATCCATAAGAAGCAACTCTTCATCCGTTAAAGTTTTATCATGAGATTGCAGCAATTCAGTCACATCTTCAAGCTCCACTTCTAATTCTAGTTCTCTTGCTATTTCCACCACATCTGCAGTTACTTCCTCCACTGAAATCCTGAACCCCTCAAAGTCATCCAGGAGGGTTGGAATCAACTTCTTCCAAACTCCTGTTAACGCTGATGTTTTGACTTCCTCCCACGCATGAATCATGAATGTTCTTAATGGCATCTAGAATGGTGAATCCTTTCCAGTAGGTTTTCAATGTACTTTGCCCAGATCCATCAGAGGAATCACTACCTATGGTAGCCACAGCCTTATGAAATGTATTTCTTAAATAGCAAGACTTGAAAATCAAAATTACTCCTTGATCCATGGGTTGCAGAAAGGAGGTTGTGTTAGCAGGCATGAAAACAACATTAATCTGGTACATCTTCATCAGAGCTCTTGGGTGACCAGGCGCATCATCAGTGAGCAGTGATATTTTGAAAGGAATCTTTTTTTCTGAGAGGTAGGTCTCAACAATGGGCTTAAAATATTCAGTAAACCATGTTGTAAACAGATGTGCTGTCATTCAAGCTTTGTTGTTCCACTTATAGAGCACAGGCAGAGCAAATTTAGTATAATTCTTAAGGGCCCTAGGATCTCCAGAATGGTAAATGAACACTGGCTTTAACTTAAAGTCTTCAGCTGCATTACCCCTAACAAGAGACTGAGCCTGTCCTTCGAAGCTTTAAAGCCAGGCATTGACTTATCCTCTCTAGCTATGAAAGTCCTAGATGGCATCTCCTTCCAATATAAGGCTGTTTCATCTACACTGAAAATCTGTTGTTTAACTTGTCCAAGGCAAGGTCATGGAAGCTCCATAGACACATCCAAACTTCTCGAGGAACCGAATTGCTGGGCTGAGGGCTGTGGGGACCATGGTCTTGGGGAACATCTAGCTCAACTTGCATAACACAATTTATAAAGAAAACGTTCTACATTCTACTTTGGTGAGTAGTGTCTGAAGTCTTAAAAGGTAGTGAACAGCCATCTAAGATACTCCATGGATATCACCCTATCTGAAGCAAGGGAGAATGAAGAAAACCAAAGACTCAAGGGAAACATTAGTCCAAAAGACTAATGAAAAACAAACTACCACAGCCTCCACCAGACTGAGTCCAGCACAACTAAATGGTACCTGGCTACCACCACTGACTGCTCTGACAGGGATCACAACAGAGGGTCTCAGATAGCATTGAAGAAAAATGTAGAACAAAATTCTAACTCACAAAAAAAAGGCCAGACTTATTGGCCTGATAGAGACTGGAAAAATGCTGAGAGTATGGCCCTCAGATACCTTTTTGGCTCAGTAATGAAGTCACTCCGGAAGTTCATCCTTCAGCCAAAGATTAGACAGCCCCATAAAAGAAAACAAGACCAAAGGGGCACACGAGCCCAGGGGCAAGGACTAGAAGGAAGGAGGGGACAGGAAAGCTGGTAAGGTCGAGAAGGGAGAGTGTTGATATGTCATGGGGTTGGTAACCAATGTCACAAAACAATATTTTTTAATGAGAAGAATTAAAAAATTGTTTAGTAAGAAGCTAGTTTGTTCCATAAACCTTCATCTAAAGTACAATAATTTTTTAAAAAAGTCACACATGCACACAAAAAAAGAAAATCTGTTGTTTACTGTAGCCACCCTCATCGATTATCTTAGCTAGATCTTCTGGATAACTTGCTGCAGCTTCTACATCAGCACTTGTTGCTTCACCTTGCACTTTTATGTTATGAAGATGGCTTCTTTCCTTAAACCTCATGAATCAATCTCCGCTAGCTTCAAATTCTTCTTCTTCAGCTTCCTCACCTGTCTCGGCCTTCAGAGAATTGAACAGAGTTAGAGCCTTGCTCTGGGTTAGGCTTTGGCTGAAGGAAATGTTGTAGCTGGTCTATCTTCTATCCAATCACTAAAACTTTCTCCATATCTGCAATAACATTGTTTCGCTTTCTTATCATTCGTGTGCTCACTGGAGTAGCACTTTTAATTTCCTTCAAGAACTTTTCCTTTCCACTCACAATTTGGCTGTTTGGTGCAAGAGGCCTAGATTTCAGCCTTTCTCGGCTTTTGACATGCCCTCCTCACTAAGCTTAATCATTTCTAGCTTTTGATTTAAAGTGAGAGACTTGCAACTCTTCCTTTCACGTGAACACTTGGAGCCACTGTAAGTTTACTGGCCTAATTTCAATAATTTCAATATTGTTGTGCTTCAGGAATATGGAAGCCCGAGGAGAGGGATAGACACTGGGGAACAGCGGGTCAGTGGAGCAGTCAGAACACACACAACATTTAAACAATTAAGTTCGCCATCATATGGGCCCGGTTCATGGCATCCCAAAACAATTACAATAGTAACATCAAAGATCGCTCATCACAGATCACCATAACAGATATAATAATAATGAAAAAGTCTGAAACACTGTGAGGATTACTAAAATGTGACACAGAGACAAGAAGTGAGCACATGCTGTTGGGAAAATGGCACTGAGAGACTTGCTCTAGGCAGGGTTGCCACAAACCTTCAATTTGTAAAAAATGCAGTTTATGCAAAGCACAATAAAGTGAAGCACAATAAAACAAGGTATGCCTGTAGCCCAAAAGCTTAATCTAACCAAGGTAAGTTTTGTGACCAAGCTACACAAGTATTACTGAAGATATAATGAAACTAGATCCTCTTGTTTACTGAGTTAAACACAAGGATCGCCATGTTTAAACACACTTATAAAGGAGCACTGTGGCACAAACAGTTGAGCACTCGGCTGCTAACTGAAAGGTTGGTGGTTCAAACCCACCCAGCAGCTCTGCAGGGGAAAGACCTGGTAATCTGCTTCTGTAAAGACTACAGCCAAGAAAACCCTATGAGACAGTTCTACTCTGTCACATGGGATCACTATGAGTTGGAATTGACTTGACAGCACCCAAGAACAACAACAAATACATGTTTAGACTAAACCATCATTAAAGAGATTGCACAGATAACTCTTGCGGCAAGAAAACAGTCTAATATGGAACCATTCCTGTAAAACTCCATTGCCGTGGAGTCGATTCTAACTCCTAGCAACCCTATAGGACAGAGCAGAACTGTCCTATAGAGTTTCCAAGGAAACGCTGGTGTATTTGAACTGCTGACCTTTTAGCAGCCGAACTCTTAACCACTGAACCTAGTGACCCACATGTGCTACATTGGAAACCTATTTGCCACATACCAGCTCTTTTATACTATGCGTTCTTATATTCCCTGGCAGTTTTGTAAGCTGATCTTCCAAAGAGTTTTGGAAAGGTATCAGAGTTCAAGGGCAAATTATCAATTATTATTATTACATTAAAGAAATGTCCTTACTATTACCCTGGTCAAACAGTGGCTTAAATAATCATTTAATCATAAGACTCCTGCTTTGTTCATTACTGGGTCCACCAATCCATCCTTCAGTGATCCAACTTTTATAGAGCACCTATTACATGCACCTGGGTTACAAAACTTACAAAACTGAACGATATTTGACCTTTGCTTTCAAGAAGCTCACAGTGTGTTTAACTGGGAAAACTGATATATATATAAAAACAATACAATATAAAAAGGTTAAAACAGAGGCATGTACAAAAGATTAAGGAAGAAAATAAGACAGCAATTTTGTCTGGTGGATAGGACCGATATGCAGAGATGAATACCGGACTTCCAACTTCTGGCTCTGTAACAAGTCAAAGGTTTTCAGAAACAATTACACTTAAATAATAAAATACTGTACTTACTGGCATGGTTATCATGTAAGTAGTAAATAAAGCCAAATTTAAATTATAGCTAGTTGATAAATATAAGGTTTAGAATGAACAGATTAAATATCTGGGGAATTTTAAATGATTTCTGCTACTTTGGCACATAATGAAATTAACACAGAAATCTGAAAGAAGCTAGCCTTCTTTCCCCAGTCTCCGAAATGGGTGGATAGGCTTTAAGGACAGTTGAGTTACAGAGACATTAAAAAAAAAAAAAAAAAAAAAAAAAACCACTGCCATCGAGTTGATTCCTACTCATAGTGACCCTACTACATGACAGAGTAGAACTGCCCCATAGGGT